TTCCATTCATTCAGAATGACATTCGGAAAAGAATTTCGGATGCATCGGATTCTTTCTGTTTTTCATTTCGGAGATTCCGATGCCTCCGAATGTCCAAAGTTTCGTCCGAATTTCATTTTGGAATGAAACGAATCGAGAACGAGTCTATTTATAAACATTCTCTTCTATATTTATAAACATCTTCTTCTTCTATTTATAAAACTTTATTCACATTTGTAAACATTTCCTTCTTCTTTCTTTCTTTGCCGACAGTGACACCTTTAGGTCACCTCTACCCGCGGGGTCACCACCCCCACCCCTCCCCCGATCTGGTTCCCGCCTCACCTTTGTCCACCACGACCACCTGGATGAATTTGGTGACGTTGGTGTTGTATTCGTGGCTATCGAAGCTGAGCGTGCGGTTGACCCGGCACATGTACTCCCCCTGGTGGTTGTGGGTGACGTTGGTGATGACGACGGACATGTCCTGCAAGTCTTCCGAGTGGGCGCTGCCGTTCCATTTCAGCCGCCCTACGAAACGGTGATCCAGGATGTGCTGGCGCGGCCATTGGTAGATGAGGATCTGCCGCACGACAAAACAACACTCGTTATAAAACGGACAGAACTTCCTGTCCAGGTGACAGGTGTCAGACAGAACAGGAAGTGAGGGAAATCTCCTCGCTTCCTGTCCAGGTGACAGAGTGAAGAAAAATCTCCCCTTTTTCTATCCAGCTGATAGGTATTAGACAGAACAGGAAGTGTTGGAGAACCTCCCAATCTCCTGTCCAGGTTGTCAGACCAAACAGGAAGTGAGGGCAAAATGTCCCCCTTCTATGCAGGTGAGTGATTGGTGTCAAGCAGAACAGGAAGTGAGGGAGAATGTCCCAATCTCCTGTCCAGGTGATGGGTGTCCGACTAAACAGGAAGTGAGGGCAAAAGATGACCTCTTTCTATTCAGGTGATGAGTGTGTCAGACAGAACAGGAAGTGAGGGAAATCTCCACATTTCCTGTCCAGCTGACGGGTGTTAGATTAAACAGGAAGCAAGGGAAAATCTCTCCTTTTTCTATTAAGGTGATGGGGGTCAGACAGTACAGCTAAGGTACAGAATCTCCCCACTTCCTGTTCAGAGAAAGAATAGGAAGTGATGGAAAATCTCCCCCATGCTGAAGCTTCCTGTAATAAAGATCGGTCACTGCTGCTCTCTCTGCCTGTGCAGGGTGACTGATCTTGTCTCCGCCCCCTCCTGTAATAAAGATCGGTCACTGCTGCTCTCTCTGCCTGTGCAGGGTGACTGGTCTTGTCTCCGCCCCCCTCCTGTAATAAAGACCGGCCACTTCCACTCTCTCTCCTTGTGCAGGGTGACCGCTCTTGTCTCCGCCCCCTCCTCTAATAAAGACACCAGGGGGATTCATATATTTTGTGGTTATTGAGGAAAGGATTCCGAATACATGGCAATGTCCCTGGAGGTCCCCCCGTCTCTCCACAGTGACGGAATCCTCCAATCAGCGGGGAGCGTTATTAATAGATTGATCACATGATAGAAAAGTGAAAAGCCGGCGTTTGAATATTTATGACTTTCGCGAATGCGAATGATGATCTGTCGCGGAGCGCAGAGCTGCCGGAGAACCTTTGAAGTTCCGTATGGCTGTCGGCTGCGGGGAGGAAAGTCGGAGCTCGTCACATCTGCCGAGATAATTCTCATCCAGACGCTGCGGACATTTCCTTAAAGCTGAAGTTTAACCTCCTTATATTTTGGCTTCCCAAGCTCCTCCCCCTCCTCTTCCCTATGCAGTGCAGGCAGATCATGGCTAGTGGGAGGGGCCGGCAGGGTGCTGCACATAGCTTCCTCAAACCATCACAGCGCCCTGTCTCAGTGCAGCTCTCGAGAGCCCTCCTCCAGTGGGCTGGCTCTTGGGAGGAGTTATGCAAATATCAAAATGCCTCGATGGGCGGATGTTGGTCTAGAGGAGTGGGCGTTCCTGATCGCGTAGACCGCCCTAGGTAACGCCCACTTGTGAAAACATTACAGCACCCTGTCTCAGTACAGCTCTCAGGAGCCCTCCCCCAGTGGGCTGGCTCTTGGGAGGAGTTATGCAAATATAAAAATGCCTCGATGGTCGGATGTTGGTCTAGAGGAGTGGGCGTTCTTGACCGCGTAGACCGACCTAGGTAACGCCCACTTGTCTCAGAACGCCTCTTAAGAGCCCTCTTGGGAGGAGTTATGCAAATATAAAAATGCCTCGATGGTCGGATGTTGGTCTAGAGGAGTGGGCGTTCTTGACCGCGTAGACCGACCTAGGTAACGCCCACTTGTCTCAGAACGCCTCTTAAGAGCCCTCTTGGGAGGAGTTATGCAAATATTAAACCGCCTTGATGGGCGGAGCAGTTCCTAGGCTGTATTTGCATGCCGTTGACCCACATATGATGCTGAGACTCCAAGATTGAACTGTAATCCAATTAATGAAAGGGGTGGAGCCAAGGGGAGGAATGCGCTACATGATGCTTGATGCCCCCCCCCCAGCCAGGAATGGAGGCGGGCTCTGTCTGACTTGCTTCAGATTCGAATACACTTTGTGAGAAGCTCACAGCGTGCAGTGAAATCAAAGTAAGGCATTTCAGTCCAGGAATTGGAGCCGGAACAACTGTGAAGCCTGATGGGGGAGGGCGGAGTTTTAATACATTACCGGCATGAACTCACCTCGTCAAACGTTTCCATGTTCTCCCCTCTGAAGAACCACTGGGTGAAGGTTTTGGCGACCGTCTCCCCCCTCTTCTTACAGGAGATGCACCGGATCTTAAATTCATGGCCGACCACCGCTTCCGTTTCGGATTCTACCTCTACGCAGCCTGTCCAGCAGGGGGGCGCTAGAGGGCAAGAGAAAGACACGCAGGGGTGAGGACACAGCGGCAAGTTCACAGTCAGCTTCCATGCACCTGACATCGCACTTAAAGTGGACCTGTCATCACATCTTTTCATGTTTAGTGCAGCCATTGTAACACTTCGTTGTATCACATTTCACAGAGATCACATGACCCCTAGGGGCAGAGAGAGAGAGAGAGAGAGAGAGAGAGGGGGGGGGAGAGCAGAGAGAGAGAGAGAGAGAGAGAGCACACAGGACCCAATGCTGGGGGGGGGTATGTATTGAGGGGGGCGCACCACAAGTCCCAGCAGTCCCAGTGTCCAGATAGCAGCACACTAACAAATACAGAACTACAAGTCCCAGCAGCTTCTTTAAATCTCCCATAGTCTGTGTGTGATCAGGCAGTCATTGATCAGACACAGGAAGTCATTGATCAGACACAGGAAGTCACTGATCACACACAGGAAGTCACTGATCACACACAGGAAGTCATTGATCACACACAGGAAGTCACTGATCACACACAGGAAGTCACTGATCACACACAGGAAGTAATTGATCAGACACAAGAACCCATTAATCACACACAGGAAGTCACTGATCACACACAGGAAGTCATTGATCACACACAGGAAGTCATTGATCACACACAGGAAGTCACTGATCACACACAGGAAGTCATTGATCAGACACAGGAACTCATTGATCACACACAGGACTCTATTGATTACACATACAGGAACCTATAGATCATACCCAGGAACCCATTAATCGGGCACAGTAATCCATTGATCACACACAGGAACCTATTGATCACACACACAGGAACCTATTGATCACACACAGGAACCTATTGATCACACAGAGGATCCATTGATCACACAGAGGATCCATTGATCACACACAGGAACCTATTGATCACACACAGGAACCTATTGATTACACACAGGATTCTATTGATCACACACAGGATTCTATTGATCACACACAGGAACCTATTGATCACACACAGGAACCTATTGATCATACACAGGATTCTATTGATCATACACAGGATTCCATTGATCACATTGTTTTCTAGAAGCTTCTGATCGAATCCTTTGTTGCACGTCGGCCATGAACTCCGCCAGCTCCTCTGTGTCCATAGACACGAAGTCCTGATCTGGCTGTAGAGCGCACTATGACTCGACGCTGTTTAATTATTGATGCTCTGGAGAGGGCGGCCAGGATGTAGCCGAGCAGTAAGCAATCTATGGAAGGTCCCGCGAAGAGCCTGGAACGTTTGCAGGATGCGAGTGCCTTAAAACCGCGCTTTTTGGCCATTAGTGTTCATGACGTTAAAGGCGGACATTGGCGTATCTGCGATCGGCGAATATTTTCAATGACCGTTTTACAATTAGTTTTCCTTTCCCTGGATGATGCCTGAGCAAAGACGGTGCCATCCCTCAGCAGATGAGGGGAACTTTGATCTCTGTGGGAGGTCAGAGGGATATGCTGATAGGAGGAGAGAGCAGAGTGACTGAGATGAGCTCATCAGTCTTCTGCTTCTCCTTTCACTGTCCAATTGCAGGCTGGGAGAGGGACAAGAGCTGTAATAGGGACAAGACCGGGGAAGGCGTAATAGAAGCAGATTTAATAACTGGCGCCCTCCAAACTAACTTTGGCCAAGGTCACATGACCAGATTTTTTGTGGGTAGAAAGAACGGATGCTCAGCATTAATGTAATGGGAATGAGCCGTGTGCTGAGGCAGCATCTATGCCCCCCCGGGCTCAACCAGCCCTTCCCCACGAGCTGCCTTTTAATGGAAATTTTGCCTGGCTGGGAAATTCACAACTCGGGGAAGACGTCTCTTAATGGATCGGCTTTACTCTTAACCCCTCCGTGCCGGCACCCTGCAGTCCTTGCCTATCATAAACAGTTGTTTTGAAAGTAAATACATCATCTCCACCCATTGCTACATTCCAGAGCTGCTGATCTACTGCAGCCCCTTTGCAGCCACTTCCTGCCCACATGCACGTCAGCGAGGGCTGCACGACAGTTCCCAGGGCGGGTTTCCTGATGGTGACAACAGTGGACCATGGCCGGGTCATGTGTGTTAAAATGGTCACTTGTAGTCTCCCTTGTGGCTGGGTGACAACCCAGGAACACAAATGAGAGACAGAGACAGGGCGTTGTCACCCTATAACAGGAAGTGCCTGAACAAGAACCTTCGTGGCAGACTGATTTTAATGAAGCCCACCAAGATTCAAGGAAGAATACAGATGACTCTTGTATGAGGACAATATTTTTTATCCCAGAGTTCAGCTTTAGGTCCAATGGGGTTTGAGAGTTAGAGTCACATGACTAAAGTAAAGATCCCTTGGAATGTTTGTGAATGGAGCCCAATATACAAGTCGCCTCACCATGGTGCTCATCTATGTTAATGGAGCCCGGTGTTCATATGGCTTTGTATTACTTTCTCGGCTTAGGAGCTGTCAATGATAATTTCATGACCCTTACCCCTCCCCCACCTTTTATATGATTGGCCGGAGAGAGTATTGGAATTAGTGGCCCCGTGGGAAGGTGAATGTCAGGAATATGGGAATGTCTCTGCGTGGATTCCAGGAAGAGACATTAGTGATTGACCGGTGGGGAGGTCTGGCCGAGCGACACATATGGCAAGCTGATCTTGTTTGAGGACCAGAAGACATCAATGAATCTGGATGAAGCTCAATTAAAGAGCAATCAGCCATAATGTGACCGGGAAAAGCACGCAGGCTCTCAGACCTCAGAAAATGTCATCTGCCTGGCTTGTAGAACCTCGGCTGAGGGACGTCTGACAATACCATCTAGATGGCTTGTAGACCCTCGGCTGAGGGACGTCTAACAATTCCATCTAGATGGCTTGTAGACCCTCGGCTGAGGGACGTCTAACAATTCCATCTAGATGGCTTGTAGACCCTCGGCTGAGGGACGTCTAACAATTCCATCTAGATGGCTTGTAGACCCTCGGCTGAGGGACGTCTAACAATTCCATCTAGATGGCTTGTAGACCCTCGGCTGAGGGACGTCTAACAATTCCATCTAGATGGCTTGTAGACCCTCGGCTGAGGGACGTCTAACAATTCCATCTAGATGGCTTGTAGACCCTCGGCTGAGGGACGTCTAACAATTCCATCTAGATGGCTTGTAGACCCTCGGCTGAGGGACGTCTAACAATTCCATCTAGATGGCTTGTAGACCCTCGGCTGAGGGACGTCTAACAATTCCATCTAGATGGCTTGTAGACCCTCGGCTGAGGGACGTCTAACAATTCCATCTAGATGGCTTGTAGACCCTCGGCTGAGGGACGTCTAACAATTCCATCTAGATGGCTTGTAGACCCTCGGCTGAGGGACGTCTAACAATTCCATCTAGATGGCTTGTAGACCCTCGGCTGAGGGACGTCTAACAATTCCATCTAGATGGCTTGTAGACCCTCGGCTGAGGGACGTCTAACAATTCCATCTAGATGGCTTGTAGACCCTCGGCTGAGGGACGTCTAACAATTCCATCTAGATGGCTTGTAGACCCTCGGCTGAGGGACGTCTAACAATTCCATCTAGATGGCTTGTAGACCCTCGGCTGAGGGACGTCTAACAATTCCATCTAGATGGCTTGTAGACCCTCGGCTGAGGGACGTCTAACAATTCCATCTAGATGGCTTGTAGACCCTCGGCTGAGGGACGTCTAACAATTCCATCTAGATGGCTTGTAGACCCTCGGCTGAGGGACGTCTAACAATTCCATCTAGATGGCTTGTAGACCCTCGGCTGAGGGACGTCTAACAATTCCATCTAGATGGCTTGTAGACCCTCGGCTGAGGGACGTCTAACAATTCCATCTAGATGGCTTGTAGACCCTCGGCTGAGGGACGTCTAACAATTCCATCTAGATGGCTTGTAGACCCTCGGCTGAGGGACGTCTAACAATTCCATCTAGATGGCTTGTAGACCCTCGGCTGAGGGACGTCTAACAATTCCATCTAGATGGCTTGTAGACCCTCGGCTGAGGGACGTCTAACAATTCCATCTAGATGGCTTGTAGACCCTCGGCTGAGGGACGTCTAACAATTCCATCTAGATGGCTTGTAGACCCTCGGCTGAGGGACGTCTAACAATTCCATCTAGATGGCTTGTAGACCCTCGGCTGAGGGACGTCTAACAATTCCATCTAGATGGCTTGTAGACCCTCGGCTGAGGGACGTCTAACAATTCCATCTAGATGGCTTGTAGACCCTCGGCTGAGGGACGTCTAACAATTCCATCTAGATGGCTTGTAGACCCTCGGCTGAGGGACGTCTAACAATTCCATCTAGATGGCTTGTAGACCCTCGGCTGAGGGACGTCTAACAATTCCATCTAGATGGCTTGTAGACCCTCGGCTGAGGGACGTCTAACAATTCCATCTAGATGGCTTGTAGACCCTCGGCTGAGGGACGTCTAACAATTCCATCTAGATGGCTTGTAGACCCTCGGCTGAGGGACGTCTAACAATTCCATCTAGATGGCTTGTAGACCCTCGGCTGAGGGACGTCTAACAATTCCATCTAGATGGCTTGTAGACCCTCGGCTGAGGGACGTCTAACAATTCCATCTAGATGGCTTGTAGACCCTCGGCTGAGGGACGTCTAACAATTCCATCTAGATGGCTTGTAGACCCTCGGCTGAGGGACGTCTAACAATTCCATCTAGATGGCTTGTAGACCCTCGGCTGAGGGACGTCTAACAATTCCATCTAGATGGCTTGTAGACCCTCGGCTGAGGGACGTCTAACAATTCCATCTAGATGGCTTGTAGACCCTCGGCTGAGGGACGTCTAACAATTCCATCTAGATGGCTTGTAGACCCTCGGCTGAGGGACGTCTAACAATTCCATCTAGATGGCTTGTAGACCCTCGGCTGAGGGACGTCTAACAATTCCATCTAGATGGCTTGTAGACCCTCGGCTGAGGGACGTCTAACAATTCCATCTAGATGGCTTGT